AGAGCACCAGGTACCTAATGCCAAGCCAAGGTCGAATCTTCTGGGTTATCAGTTGGAAGTAAGTGATGGACTAATAAGGAAATAATAGAAAAAGAAAAGGTCTTGAATGTGGGTATTGGGATTGAAAAGCAAACTTTATAAGAGCAAAAGTGGTTAAATAGGTAATAGCCCAACTGCAAGTGGGAGCCTCGGCAACTGTACAAAACCAGGTTGGCCCAAAATGGAATAGGGAAAGCTCTGGTAGGTTTACCTCATGAATAGTTGTATATCCACTTAATAGAGAAATGCAAGCTGATAATTAGTTGGTACAAACCCAGAATAAGTCACAAAAGTCCTTAAGCAGGGTGCAAAATCTAGAGAAACAGGCCCGATGATAGTTCCCAGGTTAGTATGATAGATTATAAATACAGTTAGGATCAAAAAGTTTAAAAGGATAACTTTCTAGTTGGGTTATAGGTATGACATCTAGTATAGAACCTGCAGGCGGACTACTTAAATAGGCACTCAAAAGGTGCAAGTGTGGCTAGTTGTATCTTCATTGTAACTGTAATAACTAATGATTACTAATAAAAGATCCCCAGGTCAAGAAGGTTATCTTAATACCGAAAAAATATATATATATATATATATATTTTGTTTTTTTAAATTTTTGTAAAGTAGGCACCAAAAGTGCATATGTGGCTTGATGTACTCTTGTTGTAATTATAATCTGAAGTTAATAACTTAATAAAAAATCCATAGCCAAAGAGATCACCTTAATACTCCCTCAAAAAAATAAATAAATTCATTTTTATATATTTTGTATATTAAAAAAGCTTTTAATTGATTTAATTAATCAATAATTATGTTTGGATCTGTATTGATTAGCCAATCATATGAATTTTATAACCTGTTGCTATACTATTAAGTAATTATATAAATTTAAAGCATTGTACAGTATATACCAGCAGCAGTGTTATCTATACCAACAACTTTATTAGTAAAAACCAAGTAAATTGTTTTTAATATTTTTTTAAAATTTTAAATAAAATATCTCAACAACTATTAAACCAAACTTAATAAACTTTATTTTAATTCTATAACTACATAGAATTAAAATAAAAAAAATTTTATTAAGTTTGGTTTAATAATTGTTAAATAATATATTTTAAAGTTTTAAAAAAAATTTATATATAGTCAGACCTCTCTAAATACATGGCGTAGGGCTAACAAAAAACCTTGCATTTAGAGAGGTATTGCATTTAGAGAGATAAAAATCTATAAGTAACATATAAGTTGAAACAAAGCCAAGCCAAGTATTTAGAGAGGTCATGCATTTAGAGAGGTTGCATTTAAGGAGGTCTGACTGTAAAAACAGTTTGTTTGGTTTCTATTTGCAACTCTAGCTAGATTTCTAAATTTTAATTTTAGACTGCTTCTAATCGTATATGCATTTAAAAAAGTAGGCATCAATAAAAATTTTATTATGTAAATTGATATTTTAAATATCAAATTACATAAAGCAATATCTGCTTTATATAATAGTATTGTAAACTCATTTTTGCAAAAAAATGCAATAAGCCCCCGTCATTTCAAAACATGTCCCGTGACTGATAATCATTTTTTATTGCAAGTTAAAATTTGACTAAAAAACAATTTTAGTCAAGATAACTTATATCCCAATATTCCTATATTTACTCTTGATATACTCTTCACACTGTTTTTTACTTCCACCAGGGTTTTCCAATTGCCAGTCTATTACCGACTTTTGAATTTCACCTATTATTACACCCTGTTTAATATTTAATAAACATGCAATTTCTTTGCCCTATTAAAAAAAAAAGAGAAAACAATTAACAAATAAAAAGATTGCTTATTAAGAATCTTATTAAGAATTATGAGATTGAGCTCTCACATTAATAATAGGCTTTTCATTAAAACAATTTTGTAAATTCAATTCAATTATAAAATCAACCAATTTATTATATTTTTCAATAATTTTGTACGGTTCTTTCACTATAAAAAAGATTTTCATTAAAATTTCAAATTATAAATGTTTGAAATTCACATTTAAAACTTACAAATTCCCGATTCTATATCGGGATATTTCGGTAATAACTCGCATATCAACGCAAGGATAAACGCGTTTTGCCATTGTGTTCCAATATCACGAATTAAAAGACCTATTATATTGATAAAAACCAAATTTCAATAAGAAATATTATGAGTGTAAATATATATAATTTACATATAAGGAGAATACCAAGGGACTTTCTATTTAACGAAGCAATCAGATTTTGATTCGCAACAGTAGTGATTTGATCAATAAAAAAAAATAATTTATTCGTTATGTCACCATCCGAACTCTTCAACTATTTAAAAATCAATAATAAATTTGCGTTACAAGATTATTTTATTTGAAAATGAAGGTTTCTAAAAAATACATACTTTAAGACTTTCTTTAACAACGTGATGGAAACTAGAATAATTCTTTTTTTTTGATAAAATTTCTATGGTTTTATGTGGTGCTAAAAATGATGCTAGATAAAGAGTCCTAATATCTTCAGGTGTTCGTGATGAGAGGTTTACGTGAAGATGATTTTCATTCGATGTTAACAAGAGCCTATTATTAAATCAAAATAATAATAGATTTATTTAAATTACTACTAAAGAGATAAAAATATAAATTTAAATATTAATAACCATTCCAAAATTTTTGCAAGACAAACAGCAGTCTTTGGATCATCTAGAGTTCCGTGATAATCTTGCGGAGGGGCGAATATAACTTCATATAAACCCAGTTCATGAATAAGTTTAATTGACAAAGCTGGATGAGGACCTATAAGAAAGAGTTTAGATATTAAATAATTAAACAACTTAAATGACAAATTAAGTATGATATATTTATAATTTTTTTAAAAAAAAAACCTTTTATCATTTTATCCACTTCCATTCCAATACGTTCACGACTTACTTTTGCACTAATCGCTTTCTACGAACACAATTAAAAATGATTAGACAATGAAATATGAAATATAAAGAATAAAATTATATTACAAAGATTATAAAACAGACAGACTTTAATTTGTTCATCCTTAACAGCGATAAAAATTGTTTCGTTAATTGAAAAATCAAATCTACTTGCAAATCTTATGCATCTTAGAACGCGAAGTGGATCATCTTTAAAGGTTTCATAAGGCTCTAAAGGTGTTCGAATAAGGCCTTCTTTTAAATCAGTGATACCCTTTTATTAGAAAAGAAATAAGTTAAAACGAAATATAATAAATAATTTTAAAAAGAACTTCAAAAAAAACCTTTTTTGTAGGGTCTTCAATTTGACGCGTGTGAATATTATAGAATAACGCATTAATTGTTAGATCCCTACGATACGCATCTTGTTCAGGAGTACCAAAAGACTATAAAAAAATATTAATACTATTAAGATTATGAAATAATAATAGACAACCATTTTTCTTTTAATTTGTAAGTATAACTTTACAATTTTACTAGGGATTCTACTATCTTCTATATATTCTTCACTTCTCAAGTTAACAAAGTCTACTTCACGACCAAAAATTTTTGTTGTAGCGGTTTCCAAATGTTTTGATTTTTGAGGATTTGATTCAATTTTATGAATATTTTCAGCAGCGTATTCCTTAAGTTTCAAAAAATTATAAACATGTTCACCAAATTCATAACCCGTCATTGAATTTATCGCGATATCTAAATCGTTACATTCATAACCAAGTAGCTAGTTATCAAAGAAGCATAAGTTATACTATTAATAAAACTGCTAGCAGGAAATAATAAAGCTTTAAATACTTTATCGCGAACCCAACCACCAGCTATTCTTAATTCAACCAAAGGAAGCTCTGGGCAGTTTTCCTTCAAGTATAGAGTTACGAGAGTTAAAAAATTGCATAACTCTGATTCTTCAGTTGTAAGGGTGACGTTCATTCCTCGTTCAGTCCTTTTTCGTCGATCATAAGGTTGATAACGAGAGTAAAATAAGCTTTTATTAGAATCTGAAAGCATTTTTATATTTTTATGTAATAAATGAGTCAATTGTCTAAGAAGTTTAAACCGTTGAAATAAGTTCATTTAGATTATCAATTATCATAACGGTAATCAATTTCAATGATTTTCTTTATTAATACTGCAATAAACTCGATAAATCAATTAGTTTTATACATACTTAAATTCTTAACAAACCGTCAAAAAAAGCGAGCTTTACGATATTTATGATATTTTGACAATATAATGAAAAACAATTCAGGTATTCATAGTGGGTCATTCATATCTTACTGCGGCAATTGAGTGTATCTGTTGTATGTCGGAATGGTTGTTTCTAAATCCACCTAGTGCTAGTGCTTATTCAGTTTGACATTAAAAGCGCTTAAATATACGTAGTAGCAATACATCGCAAAACTATTTATGCGTATATATTTTAGCTGCACTAATTAATTATTATAAACATTGTTATTGGAATGTTGCTACTTCTGCGAAGTAATTTTCCTTTTTACATTTGCAAAGATTTATATTACAGTCAACTCTCTTTAAACCGAACCTGGATAAACTGAACACTTAATAAACTCTGTGAAAACTGAACATAAAGCTTCAGAACATTTGTAAAATTTATTATTAAGTTCGGATTAGCAACATAACTCTTTGTAAACTGAACTTTAAATATTTTTACATATAAGAACCTGCTGTTCGGTTTAAAGAGAGTTGACTGTATCTTTTGAAAATATTATCTAATTTAAAGAAAAAGTAGCTCACGTGACAGATATAAGGACACAAAATTTTCGGTAATATGAAATTTTGGCCAATAGAATTAACAATACACGATGTCATCAATTACTACAGAAATTTATTTTTTTTTTATTGATTTAACATTGGGGTGTCCAGTGTATTAGTCTCCTATAAAAATCGGAGTGATTTAAGCCGGCTATGGCAGCCGCGGCTAAGCCAGCTTATACCCGGATACTCATGGAAGGACATTCGTCTGATTGGTTGATGCAAATCAATTACCCAGGTAACTTATTTATACACTTTAAAGTACTTTTTGAGAACTCAACGTTTTACTAATAAAAAATACGATTTTTTTTACCAATAGCTTCGTTAGAGAGTGAATATTCACTGTGCAAAATAATCAGAAAATCATCAGGAACCTGAAGAACTTCATTTAGAAGACAAAAATGCCACCAATTACTACTTTTACTGGACCATGTATAATTATCATATGCCATGGAAAGTTGAACAACTGGAGAAAGGTAACTGATTTTCTTGTTACCAAAGGTCAAGCTAATGGTACTTTGTCACCTTATGTCCGTTTAGGTAATACATTATGCTTGAATTGTTATAACAGGATTGTACAAAGTTATGCCATATTTCAGCAACATGCTCTAACTAGTGCGGAACAGCCTAAAGCTGATGAGATTGAAGTTATTACTAGCTATACTGAAAGATCTGAAGCCGCTAAGGTTGCTGAAACTGAGAAAACTAACACTTTACCTTTTTTCAAGGCAATAGAGATTATAATGAATATTTTATATATTCAAGAAAATAGAAAAAAAGAACTGACTATATATACATTTAATGAATTCTGTGCAGTTATGGAAAGAGAAGATGCTAGGTTAAGGGTTTTTTTCAATAAATTGTATCTTTCATCTAACCCTTTATCAAAGAATAAAGATTCACAGAAACGAGTGAAAAAACAACTTTTATTTATTTGTTACTTTTTATGCAGAATTTGAAATAAATTTGTTAATAATGCTAAGAAAGACTTAATATTGTATATAGATTCAACCAGTGCTTCTAACACTTTAATTGATACACTTTCAGATTTAGGTATAACCCTTACATCTTGTACAATCACATAACATAAAACTTCAACATCTGAAGAGTATGAAAAGATTATTGATTCTGAACTTGACAAGCATGCAGACAAAGCAATGGTGCTGAACATCGATGACTATCATAGTATTCACACAAAACGAATGCCAAATACTACTACAACATCTGCTGCTATGCACTTAGCAACAATTTTCATCAATCCAGTTACCACTTAGCCTGCAATTTCGAGAGCGAATATACACAATCCTGCACTGGTCGATGCTAATTTAATTAAAATGAATATAGAAATAGATTCATAACGTTCTTTGGTCTTTTGCACAATCAGCATTGGGGATTTCATATTGTTGATAATAATACAAGATTTGATGAATTAATTGTACATTCTTATGATATTAGGTTAAAGGAAAAATGCAATATTCGTTCAATGAAAGATGTTGTTCTCGTTGATCTACAAGAAAATAATTTTCACACTTTGGAAAAATATATCAAAGCTATCAATGTTGTTATAGAAGTTCCATCTATGCGGCAATATATTGACAAAGGGCATATTGTTCTTCTCGTTGCAAATTGGCCTGGACAGATTCATTTCAGAACAGCTATTTTACGCTACTTGTGTTATCATAATTCATCAAACATTACTAATAACATCTTATCTTTTTTTCCTATCATAGGTCCTTTACACATTTCTCTAAATAGCCGAAAATTAGTATTTCTTCAATATCAGCTATTTTTTTCTGCAATGTACAAGCATATTTTCAGGGAAAATAAGCCTCTTGTAGAAAATCCTAAGCCTTGGCGTATCAACCTTCTTTTAGAAATTTCTCACAGTGCATAGCAAGAAATTTCTGCAACAGTAGTAGCCAAATTTAGATCGCTATGCAAAGATGCTGAATATCTTGCACTTAAGGATCTTCTTGACAATACGATTCCTCTTGTTCTAGATATTTACGCTGTATTTTTTAGGTCTGGTGATTTCAATGCTTATCTCGAATCTTGTTTTCATGTCTGGGTAGTATTCTTTAGGTTCTGTCGTAGAAATTATTCCAAGGCACCCTTAATGTTTCTCTCTGATATCTTTTACTGTAAGCTAAATAATCATCTGATCTTAGGGACAATAAAAGCAGAGCTTCCCAAGTTTTCCAATTCGACCATTGAGATATTCCACAGTTTTTTGCATCAAAGTATGCAGAAACATACCAAAGCATAGCAAATTATCAAATGTGAATGTTATATTAATCAATTACATTTGGACAATGGTTTCAGAGAAAACTTTGCACATATGTCGACATGGGCTGCTTATGAATATTCCGTGCATGATATTATAATTTTAGTGAAGAAAAGTGTATGCTTTCTTTTACAATGTTTTTCTGAAATTTATATGTGCTTATTTCACCACAAAATTCTGCTAATATATCAATTACAGTTTGATCCAAATTTACCATCTTCAAAGAAAAGAAAAAGAGAACCCAACTATGACTCGATCTTATTGGCAGCAATAAAAATGCCAGAAGCACAATTATGCCACTTTCCTTTGGGTTTTAGTTCTTCACATGAACCAGACCCTTTTCGCCATTGTGATGCATCTAATTGCTTTTTTACTCTTTTCTTTACAAATACAGATATGTTATATCAACAATGGGTCCAAATATATATATTGTCTCATATTTTTACAAGAGGGTGTCGATGAACAAGTTCAGTTATTATTAACTCGTTTAAAAGAAAAAAGTTTCAAGAAAAAAAAAATTAAAAAATGTAATAATGACTCTCCCGATGATGATAATAATAACAAAAGTTTGCAGTAAAATATTCAACATTTGAGTTAGAAAAAGTATTGTGAAAATTTCAATTATTACACTAGTGAAATTTTATGTAAAAGATTTTTTATTTTTATTTTTTATTAATAAACTGTTTTATTAAATTATTACATATCCATTATATAATAAATTATTACAATTTGTTACTTATTATATTGCTTATCAATTTATATTATTTATTATATATATAATTGAAAGATTACTATACTTTAACAATAAATTATAATATTTACCTCCCTTAAAACTCTTGTTCTATAACTTTAGAATTATCAAAACCTTTTAACGAATATCTATTTGTGAAGTTCTCTTCCATTTATTCTAATCAATTTTTGTAATATATACATATCCATATGCTTTAAAAATTGTACCAAAGCCTCTTTTAGTAGGCATTTTTACAATCTAATCTGTGATTCGCCCCCTCATAATTTGCTTATTAGTACTTATGATTCTGGGCCTAGCATATGAGTATAAGAGATGCTAACTAATTAGTGTTTTCTGTTAAAGCAGTAAAAATTAAAAAGTAGTTCTAAGTAAAATTTCATTAATAATACCCGCCAAAATTTTTGATCAATTTGATTGGTTTATTATCACGGGAAATTACAGGCAGATCATCAAAAATTAACCAATCATATAAATGTCTTCCTATGAGGTACCCTATGTTAGTGTTGTACATTTTGGCTGTCCAAAGCCTTTTTTAACTTGTCCATGTCCAAAATTGTCCAAGTGTCCAAGATTGTTCAAAGCTTGTCTAGGCTTTAATAATTAATAAATTTGTCTAAAAAATATATAACTATATATTTTTTTAGGTGCTAAATTCATTTCAATTAAAATTAAAATAGGTTATCTTAATAAAATTTTAAATAATTTTACTTTATTTAATTGTTCAAAATTGTCCAAGATTGTCCAAAGTATTGTCCAAAGCTGTCACATGACAACACTGCCCTATGTCAAGCAAATTCCGGGCCCGATCATAAATTTCATAGATTGGAGCCAATAAAATTACAGGATCTTGTATAATAAAACAAATGCAAAAAAACAAAAAACATGTCAATAATGTGAAATTTTACTTTGCCAACTAGCTTCCAACTTTTAAATAAAAGTTTTTGGCATAAAATTTTAGTTATAAAAAGTATTTTTATATACTAAACTAGCTAAAAACCTATGCAATAATGCACAAGAAAAATATTATCTATATTAAATAAGTAGCAAATATAAAAAACTATTTGATAAATAAGATACAATAAAAGATTATATTATGCAAGCATTATCATTATATTTAATATTTTTAGTATATAGTATAGAAGATATATGGAAATTGTTAATATACTATAACCAAAAATTTTTAGCTAGAAATCTATAATTTGT